CATGATCAAAGACATTCAGCCAAGTTTTTATATTAATTTTGGTAGACCCACTAAGAGATTTTTTAATAAAGAAAAATTTTTCTTTTGCCAAATCAAACTTTCCATTTGGCTTAAACTCCATACCTAAATATTTATAACTACTGATAATATCAATTTCTATATTATTATGATAAAAATTGTATTTATGATTGAGCAACCTGCCATTTTTTACTTTGGTTTTGGAAGTGTTTACTTCCAAATTCCAGTCAGTGCAATAGGCATGTTTTTCAGTCGAAAGACGCCCTCAACGTCAATTGTTTTGGGTCCAGTTTTCAACTGGCTGTGGAGCACTCTTGCCCAAATTGTAGATGAGTACCCGATCTGATTAAATTGATTTTTAAATTTGTGTTCAATTATTTATTTTTATTACACATTTTCTTTTACTTTATTTTATTTTAATTTATTACTTATTTGAAAGCCAACAAGTGAAGATGGTTAAAAAATTCCGAATCACAATAATTAAAATAATTATGTTGAGCGCATAAAAATTAACAGGGGGTGTGCCACCATTTTCAATAACTCGTTCGAATATTATATTGAAACACAAAATCACTTGTACGTCTTATACCACATTGTATTTTATCAAAGATAATGGCAATATAGTATTTGAAACGACGGGATAAGTAGCACTATTTTATTTGCACCAAGCAAAGCTCCTGTGTGACGGCTCGCATACATTGTGCTACGTTTTCTAATACCATGGTTTTACTGCTTGTTTAATATTACCCAGAATTCATTGTTCAATATGTCAGCGCCCTTGTTGTGAATTGTGTGCTTTTCTGGTTGTGCCATTGTTTTGTTATAATATTCGGTTTTGACAATGTCGGATACATGGGAAAACATCCAGGCCCTGAAGAAAAAGCAAGAGAGTCTCAGGGAACGTATGCAGCGGAGAAAACGAGAAAGAGAACGCATTGGCGTCGGACTTTCTGCTGCTGGTCCCGGTGGTGTTGCAGGTCAGTTCTTGACCGGGTATTGACGGGGTGTTACGTTTTTTCAATTTCATTATCGTTTCATTCAGCATTGTTTGGTCAGTTGGAGATGCGTGATCTGTGGAGTAAGTTTTAATTACAGTACAGTGCATTTCATGGATGATAGTAGTTATTTCCAGATAATCAATACTATGACGACTGCAATTATGTCGGGCATGATGAAC